CCATGCTCTCAGTAAGTGTTGATTAAGCGACTTAAGATTGTTTATTTTTATGCAACCTGCATTTGACTTTGAATGAATGTCTCCTTTATTACTTGACATTATTTGATATAGGCAGATTTATTTGACTCATGTATAATTTATGGTACTGAGAGCCTTACTATTAAATATTATTTTACTGATTGCAGGTTTTTCAGTTGTCTTTTGACTGAATAGCTGCTGTATTGTGCCTGCAAGTATTTTGCATGTTTATGTCCAAGTTAGGTGAATTTATTACCAGATCATTTTTTCACTTTGCCAGATCACTTAGTATCATTTATACCAACAGCGAAAAATTAACAGTTAATCCAAGTGATCAGCAAAGATCCGTGATCCGCAGAGATTGGCCTCATGGGTGATCGGTATCGGAAGCAAAAATCCTGATCAGAGTATCCCTACTTTTAATTTCTTCAGTTGGTGCTGGAGTTGATTGTACTTACATCCAGTATAGTTAGTGCAGGTAAGAGTTTGATGTCTTCAGACAGCTGTGTTAGTTGATTGGACGACAGCAGAAGTTTGGTGAGGTCGGTCTGTTCCCACCAGCGATCTGATCCTCTAAACGATACGTTCTCCTGGGCTTCCGCTGGGTCATCAATGTTAAGCCGATACACATTCTGAGGGACTGGAACACATGATGACTCAAATCGCTGAAGATACAAACATAATTCACTTAGAACACCACAGTAGTACATGCTGATTAGTTTAATCAACGTTAAAGGAGATAGGATGAGGGCTTAGGTGGATTGTTGAGCCTCATCTGTGTAGTTTAGTGATTTGTGGATAGGAAGAATAGAAACATAGAATGAATGAATCCTTTATTGTCCCACAGTGGGGGAATTCAGGAGTAGCATTAAAGTATGTAGGTTCAGAAGGACACTTGTTGGGTCTTGCAGGACTTGTATCTCAATCCAGGGCTCTATTTAGAACTTTATGTCTAATATGCCTTTGAAATCATTTAAAGTTATCTGTAACATATGAATCAAAGCATATTGGGCTTCCTCATTGATAGACAACAATAGACCACAGAAGAGGAAAAAGAGGGACCTTATCTGTCGCAGATATGAAGAGATAAACTTATACTTAAAGCAGCAAAATGACCAAAAGTTATGTGGTTAATAATAAAACAAAGAAATGGTGAACTTTGGAACCTGACTTGACCAGTTCATGTTCAAACTGGTAAAAAGTTTTCTTCCTATGTAAACAAACCCTGCAGATTGCATGGAGTCAGTGACTCTATGGAGTCGGTGACTAAACTAGAGCTATGCCGATCATAATCGGTTGATTTCCATGAAAAAGTGTATGATCTGTGATCGCCGATCACGGTCTCTTGTTGCCGATCACCAAATCCGATCACCTGTACCTCA